AAAAAAAAAAAAACACACCAAACAAAAAAAAATATTATTATTATCTTTATTTGGAAGGGAGAGGGGGGGAGTTAATTTTTTTTTTTTGGGGGGGGGGGGGGGGGGGGGGGGGGGAAGCAACTTCAAAGGCGTAGTATCGGGCTTGAGGCTATCAACATTTTGACAACCCTTTGGCACCGTGTCGTGCACATCATTTCATTAATGAGCCAACAAATTAACGTGTTCCATACCGGAAAAAAACTCACCCACACAGTCATGGATCCACTCAGCCTGCGATTCTCACGTTCGAAGTTCGACCGCATCAACATTACATTGCATCAATTTGCGTGTTCTGTATTTGAAAATAAATTATATACTCAGCTGGGAGGAGTTTCTGTGTGTCAGCGTTGCGACCATCCGATGACCTGTGAGCTGCAAATCAAACCAATAAATAGGCTAACGAAATGTGAGTGAGGGAAACTTAGTTTAGAAAATTTGAAACTTTTCAAAATGATTTGAAGAGCTGAAGAGTTGAGTTTTGAGTTCATCGTGCAGCCGAGCACTGCCCGTTCCGAGAAGGGTATTTGAGTAAACAATTCAAATCGGCAGCAGCAAAGCAGCAACCACAAATGATGACTCCGCTGTTGAAGCAACCAAAACAGCGATCAAGTGATTTTGTTGCTGTTGCTGTTGCTGTTGCTGGTAAAACGAGTTTAAAACCACTGACAACGCTCTGGACGCGATTTAGTTGGAGCCCAGCGTGCAAGCGGTAAACATGTCTCAAGCGCGTCTCAATCGGTGGCAAAGCGGCAGCAGCATTGTGTTCTATCTGCTGTTGGCCGGGCTCGCAGCGGGTGAGTGGGCGCTGCACCAACGAGTGCAGGGGAAGACCAGCCGCCAAAAAATAACTTTAAAAAAAAACTGTGCAAAATTTGTATTTGTTTTTGTAAATTTGTGTGTTAATTTCGTTGAATCTTTGTTGTTTGCAGTGCACGGCCAGTCAGGAGGCACTTGGAACAATGGAAATGGCGGCGTGGGCGCCTGGTCGAATGCCCAAACGGGCGGCGCTGGCATGCATCCGCCGCCGGGCAGTCTGAGCGGCCAGGATCCGCAGTTCAGTTATGGCTATGCGGGCGTTGACTCACGCGGCACGTATGGGGGCGCGGGTGGCAACGGGGGCTACTATGTGAGCAGCACGGATGAGCATGGCAGGCCCTTCTCCTACAATGGGCAGGGCAATCAGCCGTTGCCCGGACAGCCGGGCTACAGCATGGACAACGGCAGATATCCCGGCAGCTATGGCTACAGGGGCGCAGCAGCAGCAACCACAAGCGGCACACTGGCCCTGACCCTTGGCGCCGCCGCATTGCTGGCCAGCAGATCTTCCCACTAGAACTGGGAAAGCAGCAGCATTTGTTGGCCTTTTTTTTTTTGTTTTTGCCTAGTTTCTAAGTTTAATTTATGTTAATTGCCGCAAACGTGTGAATTGTTCAATTAAAGAAGAAAAAGTGGCAAACGAGCGACAATGCTGGTGTTCGTTTTTGTTTTTTGTCCAGGAGTCGCCTGTCTAAGTGCATTTTTCCCTGCAACGGAATACTCACAAAGTGTGGAAGTTTGTATCACACGACACTGACTTCTATTTACAAACAAATTGCATTAAGAACTCACTGCAAAGAGCATTTAGTAGTACGCGTAGCGCCCATGGAGAATAAGAAAACTTTCAGTCATGCCTGGCCGATGGGTGATCTTTGTGTGAGGCTTCAGCAAAGCCTCTGCTCAGCTACTGTGTAACAAAGTAAGGTTTGCTGCCTGTGCCATCAAGTGTGCAAAATGCAGATTCATTTTTGTTAATTACTTAACCACTACAGACTTGCCCCCCTTCCGGGCAAAGTACTCGTCTTCCCATATGCGATTTTTGGGCAAACTAAGAGCCACACTAATTATAGCTTCTTACACGCACAGCTGCGCTGTTTAAGTGAGTAACGATTCTGATTCTCGTCACTTGGCCCACGCCCACATAATTGACTTGTTTAGTGTAGAGAAACGCCCATGAAATTAGTCGAACACATCGTGCCGACTAGGCAAAACGAAAACGAAAACGAAATTTGAAATCGCAACAAAGGCAAAGGCAAATAAACATAACAGAAATATACATTTACCCAGCGATGTACGAGTATATGGGAATCGTACGAGCAGACACCTGTTGATAAAGTTTTATTTGGGACAGCAGAGAGGAACTGAGTCACAGTGAGCTCATCGACAACCCAGAAGATGAGACACACAGATAGTTACAACAAATTATTTGCATGCTCTTAAGAAATATATTCTAATAATGATCTAAGCCAGCAATTTGTCCAGCGATTAACTTAATTGTTCTGTCGCTTCTGTCAATGTCAATGTTGTTTGCTTCACTTTTGATTTCTGTTTGCTGTTGTGTGAACGAAGCATAAAATACGCTACGATTAGTCGGTGTTTTCGTTCAAATGATCATCAAAGTGTGCCTCAAACAGTTGTCCTTTTTGAATGAGATTCACAGCGAGCTTTGGTGCACCGAAAATATTGTGAAAATGTTCAACAAACCAACCGCTTTTGGGGCCACAGATAACATATCTTTCCAGGCACACATTTGTAGCCAAAATAAAACGTTGTCGGAGCTGAAACTATGCCCCGAACTGAAGATCACACAGCGCACATGTGACCTTTGTGCGCTGAACAATTTTGAACCATTTATGTGCCTCGAATTTGAATGAATATAACTTTGAAATAGTTTTTTATGGCAACTTTCAGGTGCATAGAATCCTTCAATCAGCAGTGACGAGATCGCGGGGTAATTAGCCAAAAAATAAATTTATTTCTCTAGTAATAAACAATAGTATTATATTGGTTTTGATTTATTGATCTGTTTTTTGTTTGTTTGTTTGTCTGTTGGTTTTGTTTGTTGTTCCACCTACTCTGCATTACTTTTGTTCATCTAGCTCGTTTCTTGTTTGTTAATTCATTTTGTTTACTGTTGTTTGTGGTGTTATTACATGACAGAAATATAGTGGGAAATGATGGAAATGTGTGGAGCACTTACAGACATAAAACTATCAACTAAATGAGTAAGCCAATACTTACATATGGGAATATTTAAATATGTAAACGAAAGATTTCTACACAGCGAATGGTTAACATTTTTTACCCTTCCAACAAAGTGAAGTGACCAAAAATAAATAATAATAACTATTTTTTGCTTACTTTTTTTCTGGTATTTAGAGGCATTTCTGTGTGTGTTTGTTTTGTTGTGCGTTGTGGTTGACTGTACTTGGCCTTGAAGAACGTCGACAGGACAGGACAGACACTTTCTTTCTTTCCTTTCTACTTATAATACATGCAAATCGGTTCTGGTTCGTTCGCTGCGGGCTGCTGCCTGCCTATAGAAATATATATATATATATATATATGTATGTATACGTGTGTGTGTGTGTGTGTGTGTGTGTGTGTGACATACAAATATAATGTTTTTGTCTGTGTGTGTGTTTAGGCTACAATTACTTGCTTTTTGGTGTCTGCTTTTCACTAATTGAATTCCTTTCCAGGTTCCACTCCTCCTAGGGTACAATATATATCTCCGATATATATATTTATATATATATATATACGTATACGTTCGGTATCTGTTGGATCGATCGTTTTGTGCTGTGTCTGTCTGTCTGTCTGTTTGTTCGCTTGTGTGCGTATTTGGGTTTATCGTATCATATGTATGCTCCCTATACTGTAGCTGGTAGGTCTGTCTACATGCTGCCTCCTTCTAGCGCTGTGCTCAAGCGTTCTCTCTCGCTCTCGCTCTCTCTCTCTCTACTTGCTGCCACGCCTACTAGCGCCTACAAATGATACAAAAATCAAGAGAACAAAAATTGCTTTAAAAAAAATAATACGTTTAATTTTTAATATTTTTTTAAGTATATCCATAAGATTATACACGTGTGCATAGATATACGATGTTGTGTGTGTGTGTGTGTGTGTGTGTGTGTGTGCATAAATAAATTTCTTACAAATTTGTGTGTGTGTGTGTATTTGGTATAAAACAAATCATATTTTAAATATCAACTTAACAACTAAAAACGCTACGCTTTACAAACTACAATTTAATTTAATTTAATTATACTAAATATTTTATCAAAGACAAAAAAAATGAATTAGTTCCTTTAGCGCTTACAGACAAATATTTAGTGTACTTTTATAATAATTATATAATAATAATAATAATAATAATAATGTGACTTGTTGTTGTTTCTGTATATTTCCTTTTAAGGACTCTTCCAAATCATTTTTCATTGAAATCAAATTTCTCTCGCCAAAATACATTAATCCAAATCTAGTGTTTTTGTTTTTGTGTGGGTGTGTTTTTCATTCGCTTACAAAACCTAACAACAACGAAAAAAAAAACTATAGGTTGGTACACAAAAAACAAAAAAAAAATGGATATCTTCCACTTTTTTCCAGAGTCGGGAATCTCATGTCGAAAGTACATACATAGATCTATCGATTACTTAGTTTAGGTGTCTGTGCGCAAAATGTTTGTTTGTTTTGTTTTGTTTTGTTGCCTGAGCATTGGCTGTACATGGCTCCTATGGATTTCAAATATTTTGTGAGCACACAAATTTGTTCAACAACCAAAAATAAGAAAGAAATACAGATTCATCTTTAGATGGTCCGGAGCTAGCATCTTATACTCTAGCAAAACACATTCCCATAAGCGAGCGGCACTGCCTTGAATTGAATTAAATACTATCAACAGATAGAACGATATCTGGCTTAAGACGATACGAAAAAAAGGCAATAAATAAATACATTTATACAACTTAATAACAAAAGTATCTGTGCGCGTGTGTGTGCCTTTATATGTTCCGTGTGTGTGTCAAAATAAATAGTTTCTTTAATCAAATGTAACTCATTGTTTTTGTTTTCTAAAACGCTCTCTACAGAGACACGGTCTACAGTTTCTTTGCTCTACCTCATTCTATAACTCGTTTTGCCTTCTCACATCAGTTGTAAGCTTTAGCCTACATTTTGGTCATGTATGTGTGTGTCGTGTGTGTGTGTGTGTGTGTGTGTGCACGTCCTGCCCCGACAGAGGCATGCATAGTGTATATATATACGTTTGATTGGGGGCAAACATCAGACAGCAATTGCCATAAGCCGCGATCCGCGCACAGTTGGGATAGGAACAACGAATACAGTCGCTTGGGCGGTACATTAATTGCTGCCTTGAGATACAGATACAGATACAGATACAGATACAGATACAGATGTCTCCCCCTACAGATGGCAGATATCTTTCAACAATGGAGACCCAAAAAAATATCTTTAACAATACTGTAAACTGTAGACTGATCAAAACAATTTTCAACTCTCTCAAATCTTTCCTCCGTAATGGGCCTCTGTCAGGGGCAATCCACTCGCCGCTCCGCCTCCTTCCATTTATCCAAATTTATGCTAATGTTTTGTATACCAACAAAAACAATTGGTATCCTTCTCGTGTGTGCTTAGAACGAGGCTTAAGTGTATGCTAAGGATCGATTAGCTAGTGCCAGCCTTGCGCTAGCTGTGGCTGCATGCGGCAAGCGCACTCTTTTGTGGCAGCTTCAGCAGGCGGCGTGTCCGAAACTCGTATGCACGGCGACAGAACATGACAAGCTCCGGATTCGTGTGCTCCGGCACTGTTCGCACTGGATAACAATTGACAATGGCGGTGGTTGTGGTGCTGGTGCTGGTGCTGGTGCTGGTGCTGGTGGTGGCTGCGCTGGCCGTCGCATTGCTGCACGGCCGACGCGGCACAATGCTGACATCCTCCACATCCTCCTCGGCGGCACGCAGGCGGCGACGATATCTAAATGGAAGCAAGAGACAGGTTCAATTGTTGCACAGGGAACACTGAGGGCCAATGACACCCACCTGCAATACTCGCTGAAGGTAAGCACATAACACTTGTCCTCAATGCAGGCCACCGAATTGTGATCGCGATGCCGTGAGGCATACACCTCGTCTGGGCAATCGTTGCGCTGCCGCCCCTGGTCCGTATGCTCTGGCCGATAGTACCACAGCAGGGACATCATCATTTCACCTAAACAATAAACAAAAGGATTACGATTCAGATGAGATTCTAAGGGGAATAAATCAAATGATGGGCCCTGTTCCACTGCATCTCTCTCTCTCTCTCTCTCTCTCTCTCTCTCTCTCTTTTCCAGTGTGGCTTATCAGTTAAGGGTGAGTTTCGTTTCTCTTAGCCCAGTGGAACGCAGCCATCGTGTATGCATCGCCGCAGCTGCTTACCATCTTCAGGATTCTGCCAGAGATGCGCCACCTTGGCCACATACGGCAGCTCATTGTCCTCGTTGGCCTTGAGCAGGACACAGTCCCGTGTGCGTATTATGTCACCCTCCACATGTCGCATTGCCGGATAGCAGGTGCGCAAAACCAACGGATCATCGCTCTTTACACAGGGGAACAAATACAATTATTTGTTATACTGGACTTGGCATAGGAACTTACGTTTAGAAATACGGCGCCCTGGAAGGCCTTGCCCGCCCACATCCAGCCATTGTTCCACTTGGGCACCACATTCGCCTTCGTTGCCGGCGGCTGTGTCTCATCCAGCTCGTAGCTAACTCCGCCCGGTCGATGTTTTTGGCGCTTACGATTCCCAAATTTGCATCGGGATCGCGCACGCTTCGTGTGCGTCGTGTGTTGACTCTGGCGTGTTGTGGCTGTGGCTGTGGCTGTACTTCCAGATGTAGACGCGGGCGTAACGGCGGTGGCTGCTGTCGGCACCAGGAAATTGTGTTGCTCCTCGGAATGTTGCTGCTGCTGTTGCAGCTTTTGTGCTTGCAAATCCGCCGTCTGGTACTCGTTGTTATTTGTCTCTGCCGCTGTAGACGTTGCTGCTGCTGCTGTAGAGGATGCCGCTACGGTTGCGCTTTCCTCGACTGCTCCAGCTCCAGCTCCAGCTCCACCTGCAGTTGCAGCTTCTTCAGCTCCTGCTGCTGCTGCTGCTGCTGTTGTCACCTTTTTGCCCTTCGCTTTGGCCTTGCTGTTGCCCTGTTTCTTCAATTTCTTTGCCGGTGGCTGTTCCGTGGATGATGGCAGCGGCTTTTTGGTCTCCGACTTGGAACGCTTCTCGGCCGGAGCCTGTGGTACAGGATGTGTGGCCAGCAGCGGTGAGGGTGCGGCATAGATACTGGCACTGCCACCGCCACCGCCACCAGCACCCACTTTCCCCTGCACCTGACTGCGACAGCTGTTCAGTTCGGGATCACTGAAATATCCACGACTGTGCGACGTGTCCAGACCTTCCAGCAGATGGAGGGCGGCAATCTCCTGCTTCCGTGGCCGTGCCCGCTTGGGCGAACAGCCGCTGGTCACATTTTTGGTCAGACTTTCCTCCTGGCCAGAGGAGCAAGCTGCTGCTGCGTCAGCTGTGTCTGTTGCATCGTCTGCTGTCTGTGCTGTGGCAGCTGCCTCTTCCTCGCGTTGCTGTTGCTGACGCTCTTGGCGCTGCTGCTTCAGCTGCTCGCGCCTCTGGGCACGGATCCTTTGCTGCTGGCGCTGTGCGAGCAGCAATTGCCGCCGCTTGGCATACTTGGCCGGTGCTCGGCCGAGGCGGCGCACAAACGTCCTGCCCGGACACAAGTAATTGCGCGGTTCGGCCTGCTTGATCAGGCTCTTGTAGCTGTGGTGCGTCTTGGGGGGCTTGCCCGAGGCAGCTGCACCTGCGGCGGAGGATGTCGATGAGGCAAGCAGATTGATGCGCTGCTTGCTGGGTGCCGGTGTCTCTGCTGCAGCCTCTGCCAGTTGCGCTTCGGCTACGGGTTCGGGTTCGGGTTCGGGTTTGGGTTTGGGTTCCGCTTCTGGCTCCGTTTTGATTGTTGGCTTCAGATCTGGCAGTTGGCTGATATGTGATGGTTTACTGCTGCTGCCGCCGCCGCCGCCGCTGCTGCTGCTGCTGCTGCTGCTCGCCAGACGTCCCTCATCCTGCTCCTGCTCCTGCTCGATTTTGATTTTAGTCTCTGCTTTGATTTCAGCTTTAAGTACAAAAGGCAACTCTGGCTGTGCTCCCGCATGCTTCTCCTGCTCTAAATCCAATTCCAATTCCAGCTGCTGTTTCTTTTTCTCCTCCTGCTGCTGCTTCAGCTGTTCCTGCTGCTGCTGCTGTGCTGCGAAAACCATCTCTCTGGCCATGCTCTTGCCGATCCTCGCCTTGCGCGGCACACCAACACCAACACCAACGCCTGCTGCTGCTCCTTTTGGAGGTGCTGCGGCGCCTGCTCCAGCTGCTACTCCTGTTCCTGTTGGCGCTGGTGGTGGTGTGCTAGAGGTCAGATCATACGCCTCAATGTGCTGCTCATTGTGAGTGTGACCCTTCTCTAGGGTCAGGCCCAGACCCATGCCCATGCCCATGCCCATGCCCATACCAAGGCCCATGCCCATGCCCATGCCCAGGACCAGCTCCATTTCCGCCTCCTGATCCTGATCCTCCAGCAGCTTGTCGTCGCTGGCACAGTAGCTCTCGGGCGGCGTGGGCGGTGGCATCACATGCGCCTCATACTGCATCTTCTGCGTCACCTGCGGATCGCTCTTCAGCTCCGTCTTCACTGCCAGCATTTGGCACTGCGTTCCCATATTGTTGGTCGTCGCTGCTGTGGCAACGGCCACGTCCACGTCTACGTCCACGTCCACGTCTCTTCCCGTTTGCGTCTCTGTGGCACGTGTGCCCGCTGCCTTTGCCCGCAACTCTTCTGTATTGGTTGCTGCTGTGGCACGCAACTCCTCCGTGTTTGTTGCTGCTGTTGCTCGCGTATTTGTTGTCAATGTCTCAGTGTTGCTCTTGCTCCTGCTGCTGCCGCTGCTGCTGCTGCCGCTGCTGCTGTTGTTCGTGTTATTTTTGCTGGCATTTTTCACTGGGCCTCTACTGGTATTCAACGATGTTGCTGTCGCTGCTGCTGTTGTGGCAGCGGTGCTCTGGCTGCTGCTGCTGCTCATGGCACTGCTGCTGCTGCTGGCTGTCTTGTGGCTGCTGCTGCTGCTGCTGTTGCTGTTGCTGTTGTTCTGTTGGCTGATGTTGTTGCTGCTGATGTTGCTACCAATATGAGGCCCAGTATGGACGTTTTTTGGACACGATTGTTGCATTGGGCACGGACACTGCGGCGGATAGTCTGCAAAAACGAAAGAGAAAACATTAGAAAGGATTCTGGCAAAGGGACGGGCACTCCTGGGACTTGGGACACTGCCTATGAACCATACTTTTCCTTACCCATATACGGTCCCTGTAGGCCGCGTGTATAGCACTGTCCGGCGGCACTTCCAGCTCCGCCCGGACTGTAGCCGGCGTAGTAGCTCGGTGGACCCGGATAATGTTCCAGATGCGGCGGCTGATGTGGCTGCGGCTGTTGCAGCTGTTGCTGCTGCTGCTGATGTTGCTGCTGCTGCTGCTGCTGCTGCTGCTGCTGGAGCTGCTGCTGATGGTGATGGTGATGTGCGGGCACCAGTTGACTGCCTGCAGGACCCACTCCCACTCCACCCACTGATGTGCCCTGCTGCGGCTGTGGCTGCTGCTGCTGCGGACTGGCCCCTGGGGCAGCGGCTGCTGCTTGTGGCGGCGGCGGCGGTGGCTGCTGCTGCTGCTGCTGCTCGTACAGCTCTGGGTGTGTGGGCGGATGCGGTGGCCCTGCGTGCTGGTAGTATGGATAGCGTCGATAGGCGCCTGGCGGCGGTGGCGGTGGCTGATGCACAGCGGGATGGTGTCCCGGCGGCGGCGGACCCGTCTGGTAGACCTTGCTGGTGAAGTAGGGCTGATAGGCGGGCGGCGAATAGCACATGACCTCGCCCGGATACGGCGAATAGTAATTTGGCGGATAGGCCGTCGTGTAGTGCATCTGGGCCGCGTGCATTGAGCGGGAATAGGGCACGCCCGGATGGCCAGCAGCCGCTGCGGCAGCGGCTGCCACGGCACTGGCCGGATACGGCTGAGGTTGCGGCGGTTGCTGTTGCTGCTGCTGTTGCTGCTGATGCTGTTGCTGATGATGCTGCTGCAGCAGATGCTGCGCCTGTGGCTGATGTGGCGGCTGATGCTGCGACTGGGATGCCGCTGCCGCTGCCGCTGCTTGCTCAGCAGCCTCCGCTGCCTGCTGCTGTTGCTGCTGCAGCAACTGCACTTGCTGCAGCTGCGTGGGTGAGCCGGAGCTCGACTCTTCTTCCTGCAGCTTCTTGAGCAAATGCTGCTGCTGCTGCTGCTGCTGCTGCTGGGTCGGTGGTGGCGGAGGTCCGCCTGCAATCACATGGGGCGAGATCAGCGGTCCAGCCGGCTGATAGTAACCTGAAAGGAACGGAAAGGAATTCGGTTAGAAGAGAATCATCATCTGTGGCAGTGTGTGGTGCAAGTCCAAGCAGAGGTGCAATTGCAATTGAGAAATGTGGCAACAATGCATAAAGTGAAAGTTGGCCAGGCCAAAAAAATAAACAAACCAAAAAGAAAAAAACCCCAAACCAAAACCAAAACCAAAGAAAACCAGTTAAGCGGCTCCAGTCAGCCAAGCAGCTGGTCGTGCAACAATCCCCCCGCCGCCAAACCCCACTCCCCAACCCAGTTGTCCTCCCTGCACTGCCCCTTGGGTGCACCTCCCCGGCCCTGTGCGTTTTTTACCTCTTCCCAGCATGTGGGCCGCATACAAAATGTCGCGAAAATGATGCGCCGCATGCTGTTGCAGAAATGTGAACGATTCGGCAATGTTGGCGGCCAAAACGGCGGCCGCTGTTGCATCTTCTGCTGCTGCTGCTGCTGCTGCTGGTGGTGCTATGCCCTGTCCATGTCCACTTCCAGCAGTTCCTGCTGCAGCTCCTTCGGCCGGACCCTGCATCATGGCACTGACAGTGAGTGCTGCCGGCGACAGCGAGGAGCAGGAGGAGCCTGACAATGGGTAGGAGCGTTCCGTTTCACAGGTGCCGCTGCTGCTGGTGCTGCCCACGCTGGAGCAGCGCTGATATTGATATTGTTGCTGTTGCAGTTGCAGTTGCTGTTGTTGCAGTTGCAGCTGCAGATAATGCGGCCTCTGTGAATGTTGCAAGTACTGTTGTTGTTGCTGCTGCGGCGGCGTTGAAATTTGTAGCGTTTTGACGAAATCTCCAGAGAGTGGCAGAGGAGCTGCTCCTGCTGCTGCTGTTGTTGTTGCAGTTGCCGATGTTGCTGACTTTTTTGTTGTCTCTTTTAGGCGCATTTTTGGACCGACCTTTGCCAGCGTTTTCCTCAGCCTTTTCTGTTGTTTCTTCTTTTTGGCTTTTTTTAATTGAGTTTTTACTTCCGTTTTTGTATACAAAATATATTTTTTTGTATATATATTTGCTACGTTATGTTATGGTTTTTTGCTTTGCTTTGCTTTGCTTTGCTTTCTTTCCTTAAATTCTATTCCTTCTATTGCTTTTATTTTTATTTGATTCCTTCGTGATGCTTGTCGTGTCTTGTCGTTTGTATAATTATTTGCGTTTCTTGCTTCTTGTATATAGGTTCTTGTATATAATAATAATAATATTCTTGTATATAGGGTATACTGTATGTATGTATATGTACTTTGTATATAGTATATATGTATATATGTATTTGTATCTTGTATATGTATGCATATATGTCAACAAGGAAGTTTCATTGTTAAGGCAACAGTTTTGTTTTCTTCTTTTCTTTCTTTTAATTTGTTGTTTTTATTTAATGTTCCTCTTCTTCTTGTTCAACGTTTTGGTATTTCCATTCCATTCCTTTCATTCCATTTCTATTTTCCATTTGCTTTCCTGCTTTTTCCTGTGTCATTTTTGGTTGATTTGTTGTACATTTTTGTAGATTTTTCAAAAGGTTTTTACAAAAGTTTCTGCATTCTTATAGCTGGAAGATACAAGAAATCCATTTAGCACACACACACACACACACACACACACACACACACACTATAGCACTTTAGCACAGACGGAGCCGACTCCTTCTTCGGTTACTCCCGTTATTGAACGTTTTTTTATTGCGATTTTCGTTGCATTTTTCGGCGCGATTTGGAAAATGTTCCGTTTTTCCAGCGATATTTTGATGTCCAGAATTTTGTTTAGTTTTTTTTTTTAATATTGAGTTTCCTTATTTTCTCACAGAGCACTTCACTTTTATGACTTTCCGAGTCATTATTTAAATTAATTTGTATTTTGTTTTATTATCCGTTATTTTCTTTTTCTATTTTTGGCCGTTGTTTTGAAATCATATCAAGTGTCATGTGTGTGTGGGTGTGTGTGGTGGAGGGGGGAAGCGCAGCAGGTGAAAGCAAAAGAGAAGTGTCGTGTCATCGGGAGGTCGCACACGTTGGGTTGGGGGTGTTGGAAAATTGACATATCAGAGGTGGCAGCTAGTAGCACAAATCGACGCCAGAGGGCGACACTGTCGCCACACTGCCACACACACCCACAATGAAGAGGGTGGGCGATTGGGTGCTTGTGGGTTTCAGCAGCAACCACAACGAACAGCTGTTAAAAGTCATGTGCACACACATGCTGCCTGCCTGCCTGTCTGCCTGTCCTTTTCAGACTATCACCCATGGTACCCTCCCCCCGCCACCTACAGCAAGCTCTTCTACAGCCAACAGCAAATGAAAGTAAAGGTACGGCACGACATTGAAGCAGCCTTGATTTGTATTCGTATGCCTTTTATGACTAAATTCAATATTCGACACAGCGGGAGCGTGATTGATAGAGAGCGAGACATGTCTCACCTTCCAATTGAAATACCTTGCACTCCATCTCCTGCTAAGGCACCCATTCAAACCATAAACTTCTCCCATTTCTCCTAGTCACTCTCTCTCTCTCTCTCACTCCCTAATTGTCTGCATGTCGGCGCCCGCTCTCGAAGCGAGTGCGTCGTGTCTGTGTTTCGTGCTTGTGTACGTTCGGAAGAATCGAGAATCCGAAAAGCCAAACGACAACAAACGGAGCCCCACAAAAACAACAACAACAACACCAATGGAGTTGCAGCGTGTGAAATTTGACGCCAATGGTGACTGAGCAGCCAACGCTGACTTCGACGTCGACAGCGACATCGACTGCGACAGGGGCATCGGCACGTAGCACTTTCTGGCAGTGACGTCACACAAGCATGGGGGCGAGTGGAGGGCAGTGGAAAACGATGATGATTTGGATAATGATTATGATATGCGGACAAATTGTTCGTCTTCTGTGTGGAAGGTATCGAACGGGAAACGTAACGAAAAGGGAGCGTAAAATGGGGATGGAACGGAATGGCAGAGCAATGGGCAGAGAAATCTTCTTCAGAGAAACTGTAGAAGAAAGGGCACAAGCAAGCAATCTGTTCTGGAAGAGAGAGAGAGCAATCATTGGAGCAGGCAGAATCTCCAAAACAAAGTGTGTTCACGCCAGGTGAGACATTTCTAGAGGGCGCTCCCACGACAGCTTTTATATTATTTCTATTTTATATTTTATATTTAAAAAAGACATTTCTTGCAAATCTTCAAAATAAATAGAGCGACATAAAGCCCAAAGAGTTGGTATGCTCGGGCACACCTTTCATAAATGCACTTCAGACTATGCAGGGAGAGAGACGACTAACGGTTGTCAGTGTGCGTGTCTGGAGAGTGCCAGGGACACGTGCAGCAGCTATGTATCTTTGTGTGGATATGTTTGAATTATATGTCAATCGGCTGTCAAACGCAATACGAAATTGTGTAAAGTAAACACACAACACGAGAACACGATTGCAGCCGGCAACAATTTGTCAATGGGTGCACTTGACCTACACACACGCACACCTAGATAAAGAGAGAGAGAGAGAGAGAGAGAGTCTGCCGTTCTGAATTTTTTCGCACCACAAAAGGCAAATGCAAAAAGACAGTAACGCTTGAGTGAAGCAGTCCCAAAAGAAAATTAAAATAAAATGTCTATGCGTAATGCAGCAGCGCCCCTCGGTCGCTTGCTTGATGCATGAGTTGCAGTTCGTTTCTGATCATCGATACTCGATGGCTGCATTGTGTAAGCTCCATCTCTTTTCGGGTCTCTTTCTGCATTTTCATTTCCTGCTTCCTCTCCTTCCTTCACTCTGCATCTAATTCGCTCTTTTGCTCGCTCTAACCATGTCTTTTGCTGAGCATTATTACCTTCTTGGCTCTTACCACTTAGTTAACGCTAATCGCCCGCTTATGAATCACGTGAGAATTACATAAAAATGTGATAAAAGCAAAACACTTTGGGGCGGCATCGCAAGGCGCACATGTAAGACACCTCTCTCGCTCTCTCCCTCTCCCGCTGCCGCTCCACTGCCATGTTTTGGGATCGTGGTTCGTGCAATTAGCGGGGAAACGCTTGCAATTAAGGGACTGGGACTGGGACTGGGGACTGGGGACTGGGACTGGGGACTGGGCACTGGGGACCGGGTCTAGTCTCAGTCTCAGTCTCAGGCGCACAACGTCAGCGTCATCATCATTTTTGTGGCATAACCAACTAAGTGAATAATTACGCATCATTAAGTGCACGCAACATGTGCCACGCCCACAAAACAAAACGCCCACCACAGCACCTGCTACTGCTGCAACGAATGGGCGGCTGGAAAGAGGGGGTTGGGGAAATGCAATCATTAATAACAAAAACACTCTGCATCCTGCATAGCCCCAGATAAACACAGACAAAAACAAAAAACGAAGTAACTTTCACCTTTCTCCAAGCGAGAGAGAAGCCAAGGAATTTATGAATCCATCGAACAAAGAGTTATAAAATGTCTGAACATAAATACAGGTGAAAGGTGGAACGGCAGCAGAGAGCGGCCACACAGAGGACACAAATAAAGCATTCGCATTCGCGTGGCAGCATCCAGCAAGTAACTCAACAATTAATTTACAACAATTTCATTCCAAGAGATTTCAATTCAAAATACTGCCTCTAACCAGTGTCTGCCCCGTACACAGCAGCTGTAAAAAAGTAAGAGGCAACGCTGCCTGGGAACAGGAATTTGACCAGAACGTTCCATGAAGCAGATAAATAAAATGAAACAGAAAGAAGCCCAAAAAAAAGAGGCATAATAAGCCGCTAACTAAACGCTTGCCGAGGGTAAAATTATTATAAAAACCAAAGTAGCGTTTTCGAAACCATCTGAATAAATGTATGTTTAAGCAATGGCTCAGTCCCTTCAATTGCCTCAGATACAAATTTCCCATCAGCGAAAGACACCAGACCAGACTTTTTTTTTTAACTTTTCGAATCGTAAATATTGGACTCCTTTCAAAACAGAACTCCCGAAAATATGCGTTCAATCTATAATTTTGGATCACATTTTGTATTTTCACATTT